GTTTAGGGCTTAGGGTTTAGGATACATACCACAAAAAGCGGAGCTGATGATGATGATGATGAGCATGCAGTGCTATAAGCACAGCGCTTGATCACTCCAAGGCCGGACTCTTGCTGATTATGATGAAGAAGATCATGGGTGGTGGTAATGTCAGGAATGGCTTATACTGATCCTGAGGACGATGCTGTTCGTGATGGTGGTGGTGGTGATGATGATGATGGTGGTGGTTGCCGCTTGGCGCCAACTTGCATCGCGGCGTGTATCCTTCGAGCCCCGAGCTGGAAAGCTACACAGCACCTGACTCTAGTTTATTGCTCCCGTTTATTCATACTCGATGTATGAGATCCATGGCCGTGGCTATGGGCTTAGAACCTCCGGCACCGGGTAGGCATCGGCTTCCCAGGATGCCGAAGCCTCGTCTCGTCCTGATCCTCTTTTTTGCTATGCTTGTGGCGACAGGTGACAACTCGGATTCTGTCTGCAAGACTCCTGGGGTTCCACGTATGCCTGCCATCGCATGATGCCCACGAGCACCCAAAACCCTAAACCCCAAACCCTCAACCCTGAACCCTAAGCCCTAAACCCCTGAACCTGGGGAGAAAACCGGAAAACACACCGAGGAGCAGCTCCAGGCTATTGCTGTGGGATGTCATGGCCTTGACAATATCCTGCGGGCAGACCCAGAGACTCCAAATTCCCAAACCTAAACCGTAAACCCTAAACCCTAAACCCTAAACCCTAAACCGTAGGAATAGACCTTTAATCTTATTGGGGCTCCTATTATAATTCAAGGTATATTCCTGAAGTCTGGGAGTCTCGGGGGATAAGGGTTCGCGCATGTTGCCTCCTACTTCGCAACAGCAAGCCCGCGTTGCAGAGTTAGGGTTTAGGGTTTAGGGTTTAGGGTTTAGGGTTTAGGGGTTCGGTCCGTAAGCGCTTTGGTTGTAGCGGTGAGGGTTTAAATGGTATGGCTTGGGCTGTTTCTCGCACCTGCCAGCACTGCAACCCACTTCGCATGACCCCAAGCCTCTAAACCCTAAACCCTAAACCCTAAACCCTATGCCTCACACCTGGCCCACAAGTCCCACGTGCAGATACAGCAAGACCACACAGGACTCGTCTGCAACTCGCACCATCTCTTGCTTCTGCGAAGCAACTTGCAAAGCTGATGGGGCTGCGTACGTGGCTCCACGCACTACAAGTAGCGGCCCACGGGTGCTGTTCCTACAACTGCTGATGATGGCACTGCTTCAGCCACGACGTGAATCATCCCTGAACCCTAAACCCTGAACCATGTCCCGTTCGGGCCTTGATGCCTTTGAGCTGGGAGACGATCTGACGTGACCTTCGATTGGTTCTCATTTTGGGGGACTTTGGGGGGGTGGGGATTTCGAGCCTTTCGTTTGGGCTCCTAAACCCTAAACCCTAAACCCCTAAACCCCTAAACCCTAAACCCTAAACCCTAACCCCTAAACCCCTAAACCCCCAAACCCCTGAACCCTAAACCCAAACGGAATTCTGTCATTCGAAGGTTTTTGCTTCAGTGCTCAGACCTCGGAGAACCGGAATGCCGCGGCTCAGAAAGGAACCGACTCCGAGCTTCATGGCTCCCAAAGCCCTAAGGGTTTTGGGTTTTGGGTTTTGCGTTTAGGGTTAGGGTTTTGGGTTTGGCGTTTAGGGTTTAGGGCTTAGGAGGTTTAGGGTTTAGGGTTTTGGGGTTATATTGAAATCCTACACCGAAATTCTGAACGTCGGGAAGGTTTCGATCGCTGGACATTGCCACTCAAGCAATGTGCCCCAGCGGTTGGCAAGGCCTCTAAGATCCAACGGGCCATAGTCCGCTGCGACATCTATTGGCGGGACCCTGAACCCTAAACCCTAAACCCTAAACCCTAAACCCTAAACCCTAAACCCTAAACCCTAAACCCTAAACCCTAAACCCAAACCCAAACCCTTAACCCTGAACCCCTGACCAAGGGGGCTGTTCCATTTGCTCGGACCCTATCCCACCCTGCCTAGTGCAGCTGGCAGAGCAGAGTAAGGATGGGGTAAAGGGCAAGGGGTATAATGAGCATGCAGTTGAAAAGACCTATCCTGGCTGCGGGGGATACTTTACTAAGGCAGCGTCTGGCATGCAATGTAGTCAACCACGACTTTGAGAGAAAGCGTAGCTTGACGTCTTGATACCTCTCAGTGGTGGTAGACTTGAGACCCGTAGGATTCGGAGTAAGGACTTCGGGGTACGGCACTTCGAGGTACGGGTTTGCGGCATATCATATATATATATATATATATATATATATCCTAGTCGCATTGTGGATGGATGCCGTCCGGCATTAGGCATAATTGCGAGCACATGGTAATTCACTGCCATCACATACTTAGGGAATGCAGGATTGTGTCCATCTGCCGTATAATCCGCCATATGATCGGGTTTTAGCTTCAGGGTGTCCGCTCCGTTTGCAAGGCAAACGGCTCCGCCACGTCCCTGACGAACTCGAAGATCAAGGCCAAAGCGCCAGTAGCCACCTGCATGGCTTTTCTGCTGAGACTTTACCGCGTCTCTCCGTATCTCCCCTCACCACTCTCCATGGCTCTTGCTTCCCTCTTTATCTTCCATTTCTTACACTCTGTCCCGCTCTCAACCAGAAAGTCACCTGGCTCTCAGTGCCTTGCAGCCTTCTCTTGCAGATCGCACCGTCTTCGCCGAAGTTTGCTGATGCACTTGGGCTAAACATGTTTCGAAATATCCGGGCTTCGTGCACGAGGTCTCCTTCTTAGTATTAATTTTTTATTCGTATTAGTATCAGTGCTCTATTAGTATTAAGCAGCAGATGCCATACAAGTAGTAGTAGTCGTCGTCGTAGTAGCAGTAGCAGGAGCAGCAGCCTCCAAGCAAACTCCAAAGACCAAACCAGAACCGTGTGGAAGAATCGTGGAACACTGAACCATGAGCCCTCAAAACAATCCCTTTCTTGCGCTCAACCCAAACCCCTGACCTGAAAGGCATGGTGAAGCAAGGGAGCCGCGAAAAAACACTGAAAGGCACCGCCTAACTCCTAATGAAGAACGGTGGAAGAGTAAGACCTATATAAACTCAAGTTACATCTCACTATCAGCGCGAGAATCGTGCCAAGAAGCATGCCGATCGTCTCCTCATCGCCCTCCCTCCCTCCCTCCCTCCCTCCCTCCCTCCCTCCCTAGACCCTAACTCCTAAACCCCTAAACCCCTAAACCCCTAAACCCTGACCTCATGCTTCGTAGTGATGCTTCCTGAAAGGGCGGGGGGGCCTCCAAGTTCGGGAGCATCAGGCGAAGGATCTTCAGCACCTGAGCTCATCTGCGCTCACTTGGGAAAAGGCCCTAAGCCCTCAACCCAAAACACCAAAAACCCCAAAACCCCTTAAAGGGCTCACTGTTGAGGGCTACATGGGCTTGAGAGTACGTCTGTCTGGGGACTCGAAGTGAACCTCTGCTGCTTTGGCAGGTGCCTGGCTTGCAGCTTTCAAGGGTTTGAAGGTTTTGACACTCTTGGTACACTTCTCGATTTGTGTGTTTCAGGGCATTTAAGGGTTTAGGGTTCAGCGTAAGGTAGCCAGGATCCGCTAGTGTCATGCAGATGCAGACAGCTTCCCAAGCACTCGGGCAAAGGTGCCAGTCAGGCAAACGCAGTGTTGTTCGTCACACGCCGCGGCTCTCTAAAGCCCTTCGCTTGGCGAAGAGCACGGGCACTAAACAGACAGGCAAGTCCCCTTGAAAGCCTGTCGCAATCAGTCCGTCAAAACCAAGAATGGCGGTCTAAGCAAATTCTTTAACCCTAGATCGGAAAACACAAACCCCATATCGAAAAGCCTAAACCCTAAAGCCCTGAACACTGCGCAATGAGGTCGTAGAGATGCCACCAAGCTGCCGTAGGGAGTTGCTTCACATCTTCTTTCTTGACAGAGGCGAGGTACTCCTGTCTACCAGAATAATGTTTTAAAGCATATAATCCTGTAAGCATGCACAACTATAAAGGACGATCTCATCATGCAGGGGCCTTAATAATTAGAATAGGGTTTTTTGGGAGGTATATTATATATTCTGGCATAGTTATAATAAGGAACCCCCAAAATAATATAGGTACTTACTAAGGCCCTATATTCTGTCACAGCTCCGACTCGTAGTCGCTTCCAGGAACACGAAACTACATTGAGCGAGCGACCCTTCACAGCTCCAGTTCCACTTCACACCAGTTTGAGCTAATCGGGTATAGGGGTTTAGGGGTTTGGGTGTTTAGGGTTTTCACACCAAGTTGAGCTAAACTTGTTTTGCAAACCCCAAACACTGCGACGAAGGACCCTTAACTCTGAACCCTAAACCCTAAACCCTAAACCCTAAACCCTAAACCTACACTGTAAACTGTACAAGGACCCTAGGTTCTACTGATGCACCCAGGTCCTGCACCCGGCCCACGCCCTGCTGCATCTTTGGGTCCACGGACATCCTCAAGGTGGGCTCACAAATTTCTAGGGTTTAGGAGTTTAGGGACTTGGGCCTGAGGTTTCAAGACAAGTCTAGGGCATAAGATTGTTATCTTTACAAAAAAGAATCCCAGCATCCTTGACTGTAGTCGCGACCCTGTCTGGGTTTTGATCTTCGAGATTCGAGGCCGGGCAAGGGCAGGGTCTGAAGAAGTAGACTTGGCTAGCAGTGCAGGAATTGAAGGGGTTCACATGGGTAGTTTTGTAAATGGGGGTCCCTTTTAGGGTCCTTTCATATAAGGGGTCGTACTATTTGGGGGACTAAAAAAGGGAACCCAATTTAGAGAACCACCCACACGGCACCTTGCAGATATCGAAATGAGACAACTGCGTCACATGCAGCTATTCTTCCGGAGGACTAGCAACGTGTTTCTTCGCACTTCTCCAGTTTTCAGGTACGCATACAAGACGAGATTTTTCCAAAGGTAAAAGCCTTTTAACTCACACAACGGCCAATACATCTCAAGGAAGCGCTGACAAATCGCTACTGTCTCTGTTGACATGCGCCGACCAGCTCTCTTGGTTACTTCAGTTGAAGGTTCAACTCCCTGCATACGGCTTCAACTTGCCACCAAAAAAGGCCATCATGCAGCGCATGCCAACAGCCCGCATGATCTATACTAGAAAGCCATACAGTTGGAACATGGGCTAAGGATGATTAGTGCTGGATGCTTCTTTATCCTAGGTCAAGGATATGAGGATAGAGATGTTCCAACTTTCTAGCTTCTGGTGTATTCAAAGCTGGGGCGAGGGAGGACCCTAGGAGCCAAGCGTCTGAGCCGCCGCAGACATAGTGCGATTCGGCGACACGGCAGCCTGGGGCACAACAACATAAAGGTCAAAAGGGAACCTACCACGGACTGATTTTACAAATCATGAAGTGGGCCTGCATCCCGAACTCTCACCATGGGGCAGGGACTATACTCGGTCCCTTTTGGGGCAGTTTCCGAGCGCAGAGTATTGCTGCATAGCCTGTCTGCCGCATTTGGGCTTAACTTGACCCTACACTTCAAAGGTTTTTCCTTTTTTTTGCGGGCCCTTTAAGGGGGTTTAGGGTCTAGGACCCTGAACTCACGAGCTCGACCGGCCTCGCTGCTTCCTTTGAGAATGCCGCCCCCTGGCTTCAGGCGGTGGTGCTGTGGCTCGTGGCGTCCCTCCTGGGTGTGGGCGGGCATAGGTTCTCAAGAATTTCTAGCTGAGCTGTGGAGCTTTCGTGTTCGTAAGCAACCCTGAAGCTATACCTACGCAGACGAATACGACTTCAGTATGCACACATACACATGCACAGTGGGAGAATGTCAGAGAGAGAGAGAGACGGAGAGTTATGCAGACTTTACATACTCATACCCATACTTCCACCACGGCCAGCTAAGCCCTAAGCCCAAAGCCCCATCAAGACTTACCCTAAATCCTAAACCTTTTAGATTTGTAAACAATGAGCCTCAGGCCTTGTTTCTCCGGCCAAAGTGGGGGAAATCGTCTTGGACGCGACGGGTCGCACCAGCCCCATGTCTTAGGAAGGGAGGAATGCCAAGAGCGATAGAATGCCAGGCCTTCTTAGATTGAAAATGGCTCTGGGGCATATTAGCGGCTTATTAAAATGGAAGTGTAGGGGGAGAGCATCCCCCAAACCCTGTACTTGTAAGCCCTCCATAACGTCGGTGTTCCTCCGCACCGGCTTCATGCTCCTCCCGGAGCAGTGCCGTACCTTGCTGCCACAGCACTGCTTGTGGCTTTGAGGTTCCGGGCTTAGTGTTTAGGGTTTAGGGATTAGGGTTAGGGTTGAGGGTTCAGGGTTCCGGATTGAACGGCTGAAGCTTCAGGCCTGGAGAAAGTACGGGGATAGCGGAACTGCCGATTCAAGCACAAGTCAAGATAAAAGGAGAGCCCGATACCCAGCACCACGGGCCCTGCTTCTGAAAGGACTACCGCCAAGTCTCAGCCGACTTGTGAGGAGTAGTGGTAGTGGTCGTAGCAGCAGTGGTGGTAGTAGTCGTCGTCGTCGTCGTCGTCGTAGTCTACTGGTCTCACCACGCTGCCTTCTGTTCAGCCCTGATGGTCACCGCCGTCGGCACTTGGCCTAGTGAACATAGAATGCATGGTATACAGTATATAACATAGCCATGTGTACATATATGACATGTATCTCTATATCCAGGGTCGGGGGCCTTAATCACGTCGGCCAAGTCTCGCATCTCCTGATCTTTCCAACCCATGGGATCCTTCAGGAACTGGGTCTGAAAAAACTTGAGGAGGGGCTGCTGTGCACAGGCCCTAAACTCCTGAAGCCCCCCACCACTAAACGCGAAATCCCACACCTCAGAACCCTAAACCTTGAACCCCATACACCCTCAAGCCTCAACCCCAACACATCCCAACACCCCAAGGATCCTTCAGGGTCTTCAGGAAGCGCGTGACGCCCGTGGGGCTCGTCTCGTCGTCCACCTCCTCGTCCCGGAACCGGAAGCGCTTCTCGGACACCGGGCTGGTGCTCCGGACCGTCTTCTTCTCCTCGACTTTCTGTTGTAGAACCGTCGGGCAAAAGGCGCAAGGCTTCTAGGATTTAGGGGTTTAGGGGTTTAGGATTCAGGTGGTAGAAATTGGAATGATAGGGGCGATGTGCTGTCTACAGACACACATCTATGTGCTGTACATGTCGGAAAGAGTTACACACTATGCAATCGGTTGTGGTGCTGGGCTATGTGTCCATTGCCTCTGTGGCACAATCAACAGAACACAACTGTACTGACATGACCCTGTACTGGCCACTAACTTTTGACGGCCTACACTCTGAAACCCTCAAAACGTGACATGAATTCGCACACCCTGCACCTTGAACCCTGAATCTGAACGTGGATCCCAAAACGTGGGATATCAATTATCACCTCTCTCTGGCTCACACAGATTTTCGACACGTAAAGCCACACCCCAATCCTCAACCCCAAATCCTGCACTCTAATGTAGAGCCCAAAAAGGTAGACCGTCCAACATAAGAACGCTAAACCCCAAATCCTTAAAAAGTCGGATGTCAAATCTAAGAACCCCTTACCCCTCAACCCTAAACCCAAAGCCCTAAACCCTAAACCCAAAGCCCTCAACCCTCAACCCTCAACCCTCAACCCTCAACCCTAAACCCTAAACCCTAAACCCAAACCCACAGCCCTAAACCCTCAACAGGAGACCTTGCCTCCTCCTCCTCCTCGTCGCTGTCTTTTGCCACGGGCGCCCTCGGCCGCTCGGAGCGCTGCTGCCTCTTCTGGGCGCGAGCCGCCTGTCGGGTTGGGGTTTGCAGGTTTGCGACTTTAGTGTTTAGGCTTTAGGGTGGCAAGTCCCTGGGGGTTTCCCGGAGACCATGGGGCAGTATAACAGAAGAAGTTGCTGCAAGAGCTCGAAAGTACTGCAAATACCAGTGATTTTGCACTTGCTTATCATAGCTACGCTGTTCGGAACATGCTGTCTTCGCGAGTACTTATAGTTGGGGAGTACGCGTGCAAAGATG